CTGGATTGTTCCTAGTGAATTAGGCCATTATCTTGACGGCGAATCTTAATTCAAATCAAAACCAAGTTCAACACACACAGTTTCTGTTTCCTCCAATGTCTTTTATTTAGTACAGTGGAAAACATGTTTAACATAGTACAGCTTTCATTCTGTGAGCTTTTCATTGATGAAGTTTTCTTGCTCATGGCTTATAACCGCTGTTACTCCCCTTACTCTTTCCATTTAAATATGTCCAATGACACATTGAAGCATAATGTCATCTGTCCTCTGTGGCTGGACAATTAGCCTGTTGATATCACAGTACATTTGGGATGCTGCCCTTCTATAGTTCCAGTGTTTTGGGCCTTATCTACGATTCTGCACTTTTGCTAAAGCTGTAATGTGATGACATCTCTATGAATTTATTTTTATTTTTATGTTCTCTGGTATCATACTCCTGACTACATTATAAATTTTGACCATTTACCTCATGGTTATTGTTTTTGCTCTTCTGAGAGTCTACTCAGCAGGAGGCAGAAATCCTTATCCACTCTGCCTCACATGTGGTGGTGATATTGAAGGCTTTGGCCTTTGTTTTTATTTTGTAGCTCAGCATTATCAGAGCTGCTATTGTCTTCTCTTTGAATCAGTGTTACAAATTAAAGAGACTGTCACAGACTGGTACCAATCTAAGAAGAAGTGAATTTCTTTTGCAGGTTTCTCTTTTGGGAGACAGAAACATCAACTGCTAAATTGTTCTTTTTAGATTTGCTTCCAAAAACATTTACTAATAGCTGTCTTTATGAAATTCTTCATTCCAATTTTCCTGTTTCAATGTGGCTACCTTTCCTAGGACTAAAATTATTAAGTAGAAATGCACTTTTTAAAAAAAAAATTCTGCACTAGCATGTTGTTAACTGTTTAATGTCTATGTCTGTTTCCTAAGTTCCCCAACTTATAAATCTATTTAAATTGTTACCAGTAAACATCTATTTTGTGATTTCTTTGTTTCAATAACATCGTTAATCCAAAATGGACTAATTTGCTAATTACTGAATCAATTCCTTTATTCATAAAGTAGATCTTTCCTTTTTTGTTTTGTTTCTTTTTTTCTTCTTCTTCTTCTTTCAAGCAAAGTCAGGCTGGTAGTGAACTCACTATGTAACCTAGACTGCCCACAAACTCATGACAGTCCTCATGCCTGAGTCTCCCAATTGCTTCTATTACAGGCAGGCACCACCATGCCCTGCATTAAAGTATGTTTTTCTTGAATTCCTTTTGTGTGTTGATGTATTCTAAGGATGCATTGCTCTTCACATATTTTATTTTAAAGTTAATTGACAATTATAAATTGTCATTATATTCATAACAAATGATTATTAGAGGTACCTGTACATTGTAACATGAATACTTCAATCTAATCAACCAACACATTCATCACTATCTGTAATTAAATTGTATATACATGTTTGTCTGAGGCAGGATAAAGACACTTCATATCTGTCCTCTCATCATATTTCAGTGGAACAGTGAAGAACTGTGAACTACCGTCGCTGTACTGTCCAATCGATTCACTGCAACTTGTGTGCCTTATAATCAACCCTCCTGACTTCTCTCCTCTTCCCACAGACAAACCTAGAATGAGATTTTATTGTTTGGTATCTCTGGGTGTCATCAGTGAAGCCAAAAAGACAATATAAGATAACTGTTAAGAATATGTAATCTAGACATAGATCAGCTGTTTGTGAAATTTGTTTCTGAAATCTAAAATTTTGGTAAACTTCACTGACTCAACTTTTCTAATCTTCTGGTTTATTATCTGTATTATAATAGAACTGAAGAACCGGAAATTTAAAGGTTAAAAACAAGATGCTGTTTCTCAGCTAGAAACAGCACTGGGCCTCGTGACTCAGTCCTAACTCAGCCCTGCAGGAAGATCAAAGAAAATATCTGCATCTGTGATATGCTCGGGCTGTGCTGTGCCAGGAAACTCAGAGATAGAGCCTGCCAATTATGCTAATCAGTTATAGAAACATGTCAAACTCGAGCCGTACAGAAACCAGGTGTCCTAAAGATAAGTTGTGCAGAACAAAGACAGTTAATTAACTCTGACCCGCTGGTCACCCCTTATGAGCTGACCAACCACAAATAGGTAAACTGCTGACTGTCCCGCTCTAACTGCTGTGATTGGCTTCTGTAACAACACTTGCTTGCTTTGCGGTTTTAGGCTTTAAAAGACACTGCCCTGCTCAAGTGCGGGGTTCTCCGTTTCCACCTGTTTGGAGGACCCCGTGTGCACGGAATAATACAAACCCCTTTGTTCTTACATGAGAGCGGAGCCCTTGGAGTCTCCTTTGTGACACCGGTCTTACAGAACTTCTACAACTTCCTTCAAAAGCTATTTTAATTGCTTAACTAAGACAAAATAAATACTTCCAATATATTACTCATATTCAACAAATGTGAGATATTAGTATTTTCTGACACTAATGATGTCTATCTAAGAATTCCTTTTAGACACTTCAATGATTTGGTAATATTTATTCTCAAATGTCAGTGTATTATAGACATAGTAAAATCTTTTCACTTAACTTTATTCTCTATTCTTTCAATATTATGACATACAAAATTATTATAAGAAATTATAAAATTATTATAAGGAATACACATAAATACATATTAATGTATAATTTCCATGTTATAGAACATGCTTTAGTTTTTGTTCCTGATATCATAGATTAAAAAATTCCCCATTGTGGGGCTGGGGATTTAGCTCAGCGGCATAAGTACCTGCTTGCAAGCAGGTGGTCGTGAGTTCGATCCCCGGTACCGATAAAAATGAAAAAGACAAAAAAAAAAAAATATATATATATATATATATTGGGGCTGGGGATTTAGCTCAGCGGCATAAGCACCTGCCTTGCAAGCAGGCAGTCGTGAGTTCGATCCCCGGTACCGATAAAAAATGAAAAAGACAAAAGAAAAAATTCCCCATTGAATAGCAACAGTGAAAAATATCAGTGCCAGAGGAATGAAAGGACTCAGGCTACACATACACAAACATCCATGGCCCATGGAACACTATCAGAGCTGTAAGATTGGGGCAGATTGCCAGGTGGCAAAAGCCTTGCATTTGCCTTCAGAGATTTCACTCTGAGAATGGCTGTAAAGATGAACAGATAGGACACAAGAACAACTGGAAGACAGAAAATCACATTAAAAACAGACAATGGTCAGAATTATCACCTCAGATGTGTGATTGTTGAGGCCCAGCAAACGCAATAACGGAGTCTGAGAGAGTACAAATCACTAATGATGTAGTTAGTACAGAAAGATAATGTGAAAAGTCTATAAGGAGAGGCACAGTGTTGTAGAGCAAAACGATTGCTAGGAGAATCTAACTGTTTTTATGACTGTATAAGACATAAAATTATTACACAAAAATATAAAATTATTACAGGGTTGAAATGTTACGGACAAAATCAAAGACAAAGTTCACTAATGATGAACACAAGCCAGAGATATATTTTCTTGAGATTCATAAGGAAAACTACTTATATTTTGGGCCCCACAATACTACAGTAACCAGGATCAGGAATCGGAGATTGAGGTCTGAGGAAGTAAATGAGTTAGTGATGTTTATTTCCCAGGGTCTGCTTTGGGAGGATGTTTATGTCTGGGTCATCCACCCTGACTTAGGTAGACAGCGAGTAGTACTCTGAAAAGACACTTGCAGCTTATTCTGCAATTCCTGTTAGCATTAATCCAGTCACTATGATGACAATGATACTACACCCAGTCCCATCAAAATCTGTGTGAATGTAGATATTAGAACAGGCAATAGATTTCATTTGCTTACATCTGGGAGATTTTAAAAATGCAAATATAATATAAAGAAGATTTGGCTAAAGTGTCTAATGACAAAAATGATTATAAATAAGGTCAAATGAAGAGACATAAAAATAACATTGACTCTTAAGTAGGGTCTTTTTATTATGAAACATTATTCTTGAATGTCTTCAGAAATTCAATCTCAGTTGTAACAGGTAAGTGTATCACTACTGACATTTAATATTTAGAGATGTTATGTTCTTAAATGCCCTACCATTCCACATATGTAGACACAAATATCTAGTCACAATCATCAATAGTGCTAAGTTTGAGAAACCTTGAAAGATATATATATATATATATATATATGAGCAGATTATATATAAACAGCTTTTGTAGTAACATGGTATATATAAACTAAAATACAACAATTATAACAATATTAAAATTTTGTAAGTTAAATGTGCAAATTGAAATATAATTCTTTAATGCTTTCAGATATGTAACATGCAAGTACACCATGACATTTTATTATAACTTTCTAATAACCTTGTAGATTTATCATATAGAAATTCAGAAATACATGTTTGGTCAAAAAGTCAAGAGGATTATGTAGAATGATCATGTAGAACCAACAAAGAATTATCATATCCTACGTAGAAAACCAACAGAAATATGCAAGATAACATTCTCAATACGTATAATCAAATATAATTCAATTGATCTCATCTACTAAAGAGAATTTATTCCATAACTATAAAAAGTACAATAAATATTCCTTCAAAAGAACCATACTATCAGTAAGAAACTCAGTGTGCTTTTTCTCTTGTTTTAGATTTAGAAAACACAATGAAAACAGATTAGGGACATATCTGTCTGCCCAAAATTGATACAAACAGACATATAGTTTACTGATGAAGAATTTAAAAGATATTCAATTTATCTAAAATCTGAACCAGGAATGAAGCTGTAGGGGATAAAATGCCTCATAACCAATGAGTATTAGTAAGTACATCCTATTTAATTGATATTTAAAACATGAAGTTTAGCTTAGCTAAATGCAATGAAAACTTATCTGTCTCTATGGTCTCTTCTGGAGCAAAAATATATGCAATAATTATTATGAGAAATATTATTAGGTGACATTTTCTTTTATCCTGAAATTTTACTATAATATATAATACTGAATACTAAACACAAAGCTTGCATTGATGCTTAAAAATCTTGTGGAGGGCATTTTTCACATCTCTGTTTCTCAAACTGTAGATGAAGGGGTTTAGCATGGGGATCACTAAAGTGTAAAACACAGAGGCCAATTTATCAGTTTCAAAGGTGTGAGTGGATTTGGGCTGCACATACATGAAGAGAAGAGTCCCATAGAAAACCACCACCACAGTCAGGTGGGACCCACATGTGGAGAAGATTTTCTTCCTCCCCTCTGCAGAATTCATCCGACATATGGTCAACAGAATCAGCACATAGGACAAAAGAATCACCAGGAGAGAGGAAATCAAATTAAATGCTGAAAACAGTATGGTCAATAATTCTGTTTCTTGTGCGTGTGAGCAGATCATAGGTGACAAGGGGGCAACATCACAGTAGAAATGACTGATGATGTTAGAGCCACAGAATGTCAATGTAAAATATTTAATAGGGAACAGCAGAGCCTGAAAGGTGGAATAAATGTACAGAATGCCCACCAGCACATGGCAACGTCTCTGGGACATGATGGCATTGTAGAGCAGAGGGTGGCAGATGGCCACGTAGCGGTCATAGGCCATGGCTGACAAGATGGAAAGTTCACTGACAATGAACATAATGAAGAAGGCCATCTGGGTGGCACATGCATAATAGGAAATGGTATTTTGAATCACAATAAAGTTAACCAACATCTTCGGACAAATGGTAGTGGAATTCCCAAGATCAATGAAAGCCAGATGTCTGATAAAAAAATACATAGGTGTGTGCAGACGGGAATCCAGCTTGGTCAGAATGATCATGCCCAGGTTACTCACCACTGTGACTGCGTAAATGAAGAGAAAAATCCCAAAAAGTGGGTGTTGAAGTTCAGGCAGCCTTGTGACTCCCATTAGAATGAAGTCAGGAGGGGCTGTTAGGTTTGGGAGGCCCATTTGGATGAAAGGAGAGTTTGTTAACTTTCTCAATGCACCATCTGGAAAGAATGCAAGATTCATAGAGAAAATTAACATTTAAATTCATGACAGGGTAGAGCCAAAATCAGTTCTACATCTGATTTGGAAATAAGGATAAATGATAGCATCTTCCTATTTCCTAAAGTCAAGAATTCATACATAACACCTAAAGTTGTTTGATGTTTTATACCAGGAATCAGATTCAGTAGCTTGTGTTTGCCAGGCAGGTGCTGTACCTCTGAGTCATGCCCCTGGTATAACACCTACATTTATAGGCTCTAAATCAAACTCTAAATAGAGTGGGTGAAGTTTGGAACATACAGAAGTAATGAAACTGCAGTATAACGACTGCAGTTTTTCCTTCGTAATTTTTATGAGTTTAAGTGATTCAATAAGCAAAACAGAACTGCTTTGACTAAAGATAAAGTTGATTTATCTTAGCCCAAGTGCATGTCCTACCTATGACATTTGGTTTACCTTCAGTGAAAACTCATGACTCTGAGTAAGATTTTCATTGGAGCAACTAAATATCAGTCTTCAGTGAAACAAAATATAAGATGAAATTACAGCAGAAGGCAAAGTCATCTTGAGCCCGGGCAGCTGTCAGGTCCAGTCTCTGGGGCCACACTGCAAATCCAGAACTAGTTTAGCGTCACAGTAATGCAGGGAGACAATGTGGCCAGTGCAGTAGTTTCCAGGAGCTCCCCCCGGGGTCCACCCTGCCTTTCTATGTCCTCTCTTTCTAAGGGGACATTCCGGGAAGAGGGCCCCTGGAAACCACTCAGCTACTTCTGTGTCCTCTTTCGAGATGAAGTTGTCTGTTCTTTTTCTATTGACTACCACTCTGGTTTCAGATCTCTTTCTCCTCATATAGAAACCACAGTCTCTTTTTTAACAGTTAATCTTGAATTGGAAGTGTTGCAAGGGCTGCTGCCTCTGCATTCAATGTTAGAAGTGCGATGTCCAGGATGAAGAAAAAAATTCAAATTTCCAGTGCCCACCAGGCCACCTTGGAGTCTTCAAAGCCTTCCTCAGAATGGCTCTCTAGTTCACTGACTCTATCTCCATTTGCACTGTCAGGGATTGTCTAGCTCTGAATGCTTTTGCTCTGCATATTATTATGTGGAAAAAGTTAATACTTCAGTTTTGTGAGCCAGAAAAATTGTTAGGAGTAATTTCAACTGAAGCAATTTCTCCAAAATTCTATGAGCCTTAGGGTTTTTCTTTGCATTTGTCATTTTGTCAGTTTGTAGTAACTGTTTATCAAAGCGTAACCTCACTGTAATCAGCGCATTAGGAAAAAATACCAAGAAAAATATTTGCAAAAATGTACATGTTATTTTTATGAAAAATTCATTGAATTTATAAAATATTACATGGTAAATGTTTATTTTAAAAGATGACCTCATAAAAGCACATTAACTTACACTTGTTATTAGATATTCATGCGATATATCCTACAATGGATTTACTTTATTTGACAATTAAATATAATTGGGCATCCTATAATTCATGTGGAAATCCTAATCTGAATAAATCCTAATAAGTAATACTTGTAACAGTATTTCAGGTATTTCTAACTTATTTTTTTGTTTGGAATTTCCAAAAGTCAGCACTAACTTTCACAGCTCATTTTGGAGGTTTATCTTTAAATAATAGCACTTAAAGTTCCCAAACCACTGTGCGACAGAAACCTAATTTAAAAAGGAGGTTAAGTGTTTTTTGTTCTGTATTTGAAGATAGTTAAGTCTGACAGTTTCCAAAGAAGCTGTGTTGAGAAACCCAAAGTAATGAGAGACAATCAAAAAGAAAGACAATTTTTACCCACCTCTTTTGTAGGATCAAAACTTTGTTTTTCATTTTATTCATATATTTTCTTTGTATGGGAGAATTTATGGGTTTTCACCCTCTTATGCTGTTTCCTAAGTAGGTATCATTTAATTCATTCAGATCATTATGCTAAATTTTTTGACTTAATAAAAGACACCTTAATATACCTAGTAATTATTTAAGAACTCAGCTCATTTCCCCCTGAGAAAATGTAAGTGACATCTCAAAGGGAGAAGCAAAAACAACATAAATGATGTGTGTAGTTCTGTGGCACCTGTATATCTGAAAGTTACTAATTTACAGTGAGACAAATACTGAAGGTACGGCTCTCCAGCCCAAGAACTACTACACATGTGTGGTCATTGTATTAAGACACTATACTAAAATAACTGTTATGCAATTGTTTTATGAGGCACACATGTCATACATTTTAGGGGCAATCACTTAGATAATATTTGATATAATGTGATGAAAAGTAAAATCTACTACAAGATAGCATTGTATTGAGGGCCTCCTTCATGACTGAAATGTATCTTAAATTTGAGAAAAATTAGATACAGTGAAGCATAGATATAAATTATAGAGACTGATTAATCTTAAAAAAATATTTCATTTGTGTTCACTGAATAATCCCTAAAAGATGGAGAAGCATCGTCAAAACCCAAGAGTATGTTATATCATAGTTTATATTTTGAGTGTTTGCTCAAAAAAGAAAAGTCATCTATTGTTTAATGCATAGTGTTTAATGCATTTCAGAAGTTTCCTAAATTTTCAATTTTTTAAAAAACCCTAGCATATTTGTTAGCCATGGAATGGCTTGTCTATCATAGCTGATTTGATGATTACCAAAAGGTAATATGGTAGTCACATATTTCTTTTCAGTAAAAAATTATGTTTGTATGATATAAAAATATGGTTTAGCGTATTTTTTAAAACGTTTTAAGTATTTATCCATGTTCTCAGAATTATATTGTTTTCTCACAAAATTTGAGTAAAACAGTATCTTTTCTGTGTGTGTGTGTGTGTGTGTGTGTGTGTGTGTGTGTTTAGTATTAGGGATCGAACTCATAGTCTGTGCTTGCCAGGCAAGCATTTATGCCACTGAGCTAAATCTCCGACCCATTATCTTTTATTTTATTTTTCTGCATGTGATAGATTTCACACAGAGCTGTCTAATTTTGAAATGCTAACCCACTTTTTCTCTTTGTAGATCAATGTGAGTAATGTTATTTCCATGTGTTCAAAATCACAATTGTTTTCTACAGTGCCAAATCTGCTCTGAGGGAATGAACAGCAGAATAATTATTGCCTCTACTACGTATAGCATTAATACTTCAGTTGTTTCTTTATTATATGTTTTCCTTTTAATATTAATGTTTAATCCTTCAGGCATTGCCAATGATTATAATGTTTTGAAAGTCCTGTGTGTTCCTTCCATAATCCCCGTGGAGACTTACCTTGCCACTGGTAATTGATTGTTCTTAAAGCATGGATCATATTTTCCTACCTTTTCAAAACACAAATGTAGAACTCTGGATGATACATATTGGAATTATTTTACTGTTAAGACTCAGAATTTTCACACTCTTTTATTAAACTGTTAAAATTTGCTTTACGAGGCAGTTTACTTACTTGAAAATTGTCCTGGTTTTTCTGAGGTTTAGTGATGGATTCTGTACAACTAGGGCTTTGTTACTGTTTCCATATTCATACGAAATACTGTCTTTTTCTTTCTGCTGTCACCCTCAAAGCCTTTTACTACATAAAAGAGTTTCTTCACTAGGGTTTCCTAGAACCGTGTAAATTGGTAGTTCTTAGGCTTGCAGTGACATGGTAGAATATTTTCTGTCATAGGGAGCTGTTAGTGTGACCTCATGAAGTCTCATTTTAGTAAGTACAGTTTGGGAATTATGCAAATCTGAGAATCCATACTAACTTCTTAGTCACTTCCCCTGTCTGTATCTGCACAGAAGATCTCAACTGCATGTATTCAGCATACAATTGTATAATCCTATTTTTCTTTTAAAATGAAAAAAGAATCAAAATGATGATACAGAAGTTCAAAGCAAAATAATAGATTAATGATGACTAATATATTGCAAACTGCTTTCATCAAAGTAGTTCAGATTACAAGACATGGGAATAAAAAATGATCACCCAATCAAACAATGAAAGGACAAACCATTCTCTTTGATGAACTGTTTTCAGTTGTCTTTGGCAGCAGTTACTAACATCCCTGATTCTATTTCCAGTTACAGATACTGCCAATGGCCCTAACAGAAGCATAGTGATTTCTCCTATCAGCCTAATAGTTTTAGTATCTTCAATTATTTTTCCTTCATTCCACACTATCAAAATTAATGCATATTTTGTGCTTTTATATCATGTTTTGTGAATATTATAACGCAAAACTTTTGGGGGAGTGTGTTAAAGAATGACTGTTTAAAAAAAATGAACATTTGATAATTTTTTTGGGGTTACTGGAGATCGAACTCACGCCTCACTCTTGCCAGATAGGTACTTATGCCACTGAACTAAATCCATTGCACGACAATTTTTTGATGGTCCCTTTATTTCTAATGTGGAAAATATTGTCTACTCTATATTAGGCACTAGAGAAATTATTTTGATGGACATAATTGTTCCAAATATTCATTCTTTGTATTAAATTCAAGATAATGCCATTGGTAACACACTTGGAAAATAGGTAACCCAAGAGTCAGAAATTAGCTTATACACTTTCATTTATGTGCATTTGTATATGTGTGTGTGTGTGTTTCTCCTAAAACTTCCTTTATTAATGGTGGCATTTGTCTTGATCATCTACGTAAAACATAGCTTGCACTTAGCTTATCCGTATTTGATTGATTAATATAGGTAATGTATAGTTCTGATTAATTATTTTCAGTTATCATTTTTGTGATGTTTTATCAAATTCAAGAATAACCCATAGATGCTTGCTATTTTTTCAAGTACACGTGGTATTATAGTTAATTGCACACTTCAGGAATATACATGAGTCAAGGGAAATTCCAATATCCCTTAAGAAATAGAGCACCTCCTAAGGTTTCATTTGTTACTTCAAATGATACTTAAATCTGTAAGCTGTGATAGGGCTCGCGAGAAATTAAATACACACACACACACAC